CTTATAGGTTTTTAGTAGTAACTGTAACCTGAATGGATAAAATCGTATGGCATAAGGAAATATGGCATAGACCAAGCTTATCTTAAAACATACAGTATATGTGAAAGTAAAGTGCTGTGATATGTAAATATTAAACATCATATCCATACTGGTTAAATATGTATCAATCTTAACCCATTAAGTGCCGTATGTAAGTGAACCATATTACCAGTTACGTATATACAGATGCGTGTGCTACTGTGTAATAATATGCGTATTTATAACAGATATTGATATACTGCTTGCTATGTGAATTGTTGTATGCCTTATTGAATGGCAAGTGAACATGGAGTTGCAAAATGCAAGTGCACTGGAGATCTGCTGAGTGCCCTATAGGTGGCAGTGTAGTTGATACTGATTGGTATGTGAAATGTTGTTTGTCTGTTGACCTATAGGGGTCAGTGTTTTGGTGTTTGTAAAACCCCATGAAAATTGTCAATGTACTTGACAGACCTGTAGGTGGCAGTGTTGATAGAACCACTGTTAGTCTTAATGTGAAATGTAAATTATTGTGAATTAAACCTGAATTTGAGCCCGTGCTGGAGTTTAATTCATGGTTTATGGTTATGTTTAAAACAAACCTTATGTCTAATATATATTGGCTGGTAAATTGTATATGACATGTGAAGACAGTTTTGCTGTTGACCAGTTGGGGTCAGAAATGCTGATTTTATGGTAAAATACCTTTTAACCCCTGAAGGATACATGACATGTGTGACATATCATGATTCCCTTTTATTCCAGAGTTTGGTCCTTAAGGGGTTAATCCAAATGCAAGGTTAACGTGAGATTTTGAGTGACCTGTAGGGGTCAGTGTGGTTTATGTGAAACATTGTTTGTGAGCTATGCCCCAGCATTATAGTTGTATGACAGGGAAACAAACAGTGCCCGTTTGACAATATACAATAAGTGAACATAATAGCTTAATAACAGTCATTGTAACCAACCAAAGTTCTGTTCATGGGTTGTAAACGCACAAAGCGTGTGTGTAGTACAACAGTAAATGCATGAACTAGTACCCGTTTGGTAGAAAATTGCACGAACCGTGAGCCTGGTATGTCAGGGAAACAAAACTAAACGAGCAGTGAGATTCGAAATGCACGCACAGAATTGCCTAGTATGTTTAGCCAATTGAAACAGAATGTGTTCCCGTTTGGGAGTATGCTAATGCTTGAAATGAGCCAGTGACAGATATAAACAAGTGAATTTAAACGAATGATATGCATGAACATCCAATGGTTTTAGGACAGATTTAGACAAAATGCAGCCGTAAAGTGAGGACCTGACCCGTGCATGGTGCCGTGGGACTGATGCCTGGCGTAACGGGTAGGTCGACTTACGGTTTGTGAGTCACTTGGACACCATCCACAGCGATAGATTGAAGAAAGAATGTGGAAGGCCGGAAAAGCCTGTGGCTGAATTCCTGACACAGCTCAGCTTAGAAAACCTCATGGTGTAATCAGGTAAAATGGCGTCTGGATGACCCGGAAGTGGAAGTCATTCTGATGCTGACCTCAAGCGATATGAGTCAGGTAAGGGGTGTCCCTTATATAGGGGAGTGAATTAATTTAAGCCCCTCCCACAAATACAGGCCAAATGGCCTTAAAACTTATGAAATCAGCGCCCTGCCAGCACTGTGTCAGGCTGATTTGCAATTCACTGGCTGCGGTCCAGGGTTTTGCTATCTCCATGTTGCTGTAGGTAGGGGTGCTGCGCAGAGGCCAGCAGTGCCCTCAATACTCTCTTATACGATACCAGTGCTGTTGGGTGCTGCTCCTTGCGCTAGGACGCCATCCCACCGCTGCCACCAAAGGTTACGGTTGCCTCCTGGCTGGCTGGAAGTTGGACCGTAGAAAGGATGCTCCTAGCGCTCACCAAAGGACCATCAGCACCGTAGACACCATAAGTACTGTGTAGACACCATAAGTACTGCAGGCTCAACGAACCACTGCTACTGGGCTAGGATCTCGCTGTCTGCTATCCACCCTGGACCTACGACCAGGCTCCAAGTTCCAGTAGGTGAATCCCTTCCTTCTGTAGAGCGAAGCAGGATCAGGAACAAAAGCTCTTACAAGAGCTCAGTAGATAAAGGAGTATGAAGAACATAGCAATCCCTGTAGTGATTATAGCTGTCCCCTACAAACATGAGTCAAGGCTGCAAGTAAGAGGGTCAAGTAGATCTGATGTTTAATGGCACACACTCTACTTTTATGAGATTCTGCCCATGCAAGGGAGACACCCACATAATTAGCAGTATGACCAATCGGAACAATATACATTCGGGGAAATTCCCATCCCTCAGATAATCACATAACATAATTAAAACAGAACAGTTTTTCCCCAAAGATTGGATGTACCCCAAATACTTGGGGTACAGACATAAATTTGGTATCCCCAGATAACCCATAGTTCAGGTACCAACATATGTAAAAATCAGTTCAATTGGTTCAGCCGTTCGGGAGATATGGGACTTAGAAGTTTTGACCGACTGCACAAATACAGTAGCTGAAAACAGTTCCATGAATGCTGGCCCTGCAGTCGGTCTAAGAACGTGAGTAAAAACTCCTGAACGGCCGGCCATCCGTACACCATCCTGTGTTCGCTCAAATCCCCATCTGTTGCTAATCCTTTCTACCGAACGCCCGGTCGTTCGGTAGATTTGGTGATATTTTCCCGAATGTATGGAGGTCTCAGCGGTGTTCGCCTGTTTGAGTGTCCGATTTTAGTTCCAGACATTCATCGGCAAACGCCGCTTGTTCGGGAGTTAAGATGGCCGCGAACACGTGTAAGTCCTGAAATGGCGGCTGCGCTTACAAGTCCCATAGCGTTCGTGCGGTTGATTCGAATGTAATGCACATCAACCAGGGAGGTAAATTGGCCATAATTAAGTCAGGGTGGCCTGTTAAGGCAGGTAAGCATTCGCATGGTGAATGCTTACAAAAATACCGAACAGCTGTATATTCCATAGTCTTTTGCAGGCATTCTGGGCTTGTTGTACAGCTTGGATCTGAGCGCTCAATATATCCAAACTGCGCTCAGATCCTACAAATATAGTTAAATCGCCATACCCACTAGGTCCATAGTCATGGGGTAAAAGGCTGGCAATTAAGCTTCTCCATAACCCAGGGAAGCAGGGCAATTTGTCATTTAAAGGGCCAGTTACAAATAGCAGTTTGTAACAGCCAGCACTACCACGGAAGTAGCCTGGTGGGAGCCTGGTTGCTGGAGGGGGAGACAGACTGTCTCCCCTTTGGATACATAGCTGTGCTGCTGGAGGGGGAGCCTGATCGTCTCCCCTTTGGACAAAGCACCATGCTGCTCTGGGGGGAGACCGACTGTCTCCCATTTGGCTAAACAGCCCTGTTGCTGGTGGACAGGACCGACCGTCCTTACCCCCTGTGGTTTGGGCACAGAGATTACGGTCCCATCTGCACCAGTGTGGGGCTTATCATCTCCCCTTGGTGGGCTAGGCTGCCGCTGGGGAGGGGGGACAAGGTTCTTCCCTCCCAGTAGAAGACTCTGCCGCTGGGGAGCAGGACCGACTGTCCGTACTCCATGTAGCTTGGATGCAGAGACCATTAGTACCACCCACAGGGTTTTGGAAAACAACCAATAAACACGTACAATACACTCAGACACACAGCATTCACTTTATGCGCACACTGCATTCACTTTACGCACACTACACAAACACACACAGCTATCCTGTCTAAACACACTGCATCCACTACACATGGCATTTATATTTTGTGCATTTACCTTTAGAAATAGTTTTTTTTCAAAATGCGAAATATACAGAATATCGGTAAGCTATCGGCCTGAAAATTCACAGAATATCGGTATCGGCTCTAAAAAATCAATATCGGTCGATCCCTGAGGTATTATCTTGTTTGTGTGGGAGTGTCAGGTGCGTGCTTAATTGTGTCTGAAATTGTATATAAGCAGGCCGTCTGGCCAGATTAAAACATTCCAGCTTGTACTCCCAGAACTATGTGTCGGCTGGTTACAGGGAGGGGAAAGGGCTAATCACTACTCCTGCTTGTTCCAGTGTGGAGGATTCAATGGGGAAAGTCTTTGTAAGGACTAGAGCTCCCACAACTGAGTGTCGTCCAGTGCCTGGGGGTGGATAGAGCGAGTTCCCCATTTGGCTCCAGGAGGGAGCTGTTCCAGGACCCCAGTCAAGCCACTGCAGAAGTGCTGCTGTTTATCCCCTGCTCCTGCTAGGAAGCGGTCCTTGGCGGAGGTACCCAGCCGGGGTACAGGGAGCTCCGTTACACACAGGTTTATACACAGGTTTAGAAGTACAAACTACTAGACCAGACAAAGAAATTGGATGGGATGAGCCCCAAACAAGCCCCAGCTACAGACAATCAAGAGGCAAAATGCATGATTGAAAGCCGTATTACATAATACATAAAATATATTTTTTTTTTGAAATAGTCATTGTTGGGCTACGTTTGCCTTAGTTTGGCAATATGGATTGCAATCCTGTCTGGGTTAATACTGGAATTGTCTGGAATTTTTAACTGAATTCAAACTTAATTAGAAATTTTGCACCAATATAGCCTGTATGAAATATGTTGTGCAGAATTATGTCTAATTGAGATATTGTGGCCTAAAATGTAAAATTCACTTGGACATGCATATTTCCAGTGTAGTCAATGACACAGATTGTATGGCTTGCTCCCCCAATGGTGAAACATAGGGCAGTGCAGCTATAATGAATGTATTATGTTAGTGACATGTCTGCTACTCCACCCTCAGGGTCTCTGGTTGGGGTCGGAGATGTCATTTCACAGCAGCTGGTTGAGAGGAAAGGTCTGCAACGTCATGACTTCGAAAGAACCATGAAAATGATGGGGATTGGATTTTGTTTTGTGGTAATATACTTGGCACGGTCCCTGTCTGTCAGTTCTTTGTTTATTTCCGTATTATCTTTCATCATATTCCCCCATTTTCCCCACTTACAGGGCCCTGTGGTTGGCGGCTGGTTAAAAACCCTTGAGTCTCTTGTTCCTGGAAGCAGCAAATCAGTCGCATTGAAGAAAATGCTCTTAGACCAGGTACCAAACCTCTGTCTGTATCACCCTGCAGTGGGAGGGACAGACTCCGTGTTCCATAGCTCCTTCTGTCTGTGTCACCCTGCAGTGGGAGGGACAGACTCCGTGTTCCATAGCTCCTTCTATCTGTGTCACCCTGCAGTGGGAGGGACAGACTCTGTGTCCCATAGCTCCTTCTGTCTGTGTCACCCTGCAGTGGGAGGGACAGACTCCATGTCCCATGGCTCCTTCTGTCTGTGTCACCCTGCAGTGGGAGGGAAAGATTCCGTGTCCCATAGCTCCTTCTGTCTGTGTCACCCTGCAGTGGGAGGGACAGACTCCGTGTCCCATAGCTCCTTCTGTCTGTGTCACCCTCCGTGTCCCATAGCTCTCTCTGTCTGTGTCACCCTGCAGTGGGAGGGACAGACTCAGTGTCCCATAGCTCCCTTCTATCTGTGTCACCCTGCAGTGGGAGGGACAGACTCCGTGTCCCATAGCTCCTTCTGTCTGTGTCACCCTGCAGTGGGAGGGACAGACTCCGTGTCCCATAGCTCCTTCTGTCTGTGTCACCCTGCAGTGGGAGGGACAGACTCCGTGTCTCATAGCTCCCTCTGTCTGTGTCACCCTGCAGTGGGAAGGACAGACTCCGTGTTCCATAGCTCCCTCTGTCTGTGTCACCCTGCAGTGGGACGGACAGACTCCGTGTCCCATAGCTCCCTCTGTCTGTGTCACCCTGCAGTGGGAGGGACAGATTCCGTGTCCCATAGCTCCTTCTGTCTGTGTCACCCTGCAGTGGGAGGGACAGATTTCGTGTCCCATAGCTCCTTCCGTCTGTGTCACCCTACAGTGGGAGGGACAGACTCCGTGTCCCATAGCTCCCTTCTGTCTGTGTCACCCTGCAGTGGGAGGGACAGACTCCGTGTCCCATAGCTCCTTCTGTGTGTGTCACCCTACAGTGGGAGGGACAGACTCCGTGTCCCATAGCTCCCTCTGTCTGTGTCACCCTACAGTGGGAGGGACAGATTCCGTGTCCCATAGCTCCTTCTGTCTGTGTCACCCTGCAGTGGGAGGGACAGACTCCGTGTCCCATAGCTCCTTCTGTCTGTGTCACCCTGCAGTGGGAGGGACAGACTCTGTCCCATAGCTCCCTTCTGTCTGTGTCACCCTGCAGTGGGAGGGACAGACTCTGTGTCACCCTGCAGTTGGAAGGGTATACTAGGTGTCACCTTGCAGTGGGATGGCAGATTCTGTGTTACCCTTAATTTGGAGCACAGATCACTGTGACCCATAGCTTCCTGCTGCAGAAAGTGTGCTGGTTTTGAGTTTATTCCTTGTGCTTTCTCTCCAGGGTGGTTTTGCACCATGCTTCCTTGGTGGTTTTCTGGCGATAGTTGGTGCTTTGAACGGTCTTTCCAAAGAGGAAATTTGGAGCAAGGTAAAGAGGGTGAGTTGCTGAATATCTGTTGTCTGTATGTGTCAGGTATAATTGCTAGACGAGGTACAGGGACATTTCATAACTTAAAGGGACACTATAGTTACCAAAATCACTTTCGATTAATGAATCAGTTTTGGTGTATAGATCACGACCCTGCAGCCTCACTACTCAATTCTCTGCCATTTAAGAGTTAAATCGCTTTGTTTATGCAGCCCTATGCACATCACCTACGTGGCTAGCACAGCCTCCCTAAACACTTCCTGTAAAGAGTTATCTAGTGATTACACTTCCCTTATTGCAAATTGTTTATTTTAGGATTTCTTATCTCCTGTTCTGTTAATAGCTGGCTAGAGCCTGCAGGATCCTCCTGTGTGTAATTAAAGTTCAATTACAGAGCAGGAGATAAAAACGTTTTAAGTTAACATCTGATTGAAAAGAAACCATTTTGTTTTCATGCAGGCTGTGTCAGTTACCACAAAGGGAGGTGTGGCTTGAGTGGCATGGACAGAAACAAAAGTGATTTAACTCCTAAATGGCAAATAATTAAGCAGTGAGACTGTAGGGACATGATCTATTCTATACATTATAACTGCTTCAGTTAGCTAAAGTTGTTTTGGTGACTATAGTGTCCCTTTAAAATAAAATTTGTGACTTCATGTTGTGCAATAGTTTGGCAGTGACCTCACAGGGTACAGATAATCTGGTGGGGAGGTGTGATTCGATTCAGTGTATATGTACCTCAGAGTACATTCTATAGCGGTGAGGAGTATATACAAACGGGCAGCAAGCTGTGACAAATCTCAGGCTATGTATAATATGGAAGTACAGTGTTTTTTTCTTTCCGGTTCTATATGTCTATACATTGGTCAGCCACAACTTCAAAACCACCTGGCTAATATCATGTAGATCCCCCTTAAAGACCAAACTTCTGGAATAAAAGGGAATCATGACATGTCACATGTCATGTGTCCTTAAGGGGTTAAACATGTTGAGGTGTGGACTCCAAGAGGACCTCTGAACATGTCCTGTGGTATTTGGCACCAAGACATTAGCATCGGATCCATTAAGTCCTGTGAGGTGTGGCTCCTATGGATCGAATATGTTATCCAACACATCCCACAGATGTTCAATCAGATTGAGATCTGGGGAATTTAAAGGCCAAGGCAACACCTTAAACTCTGCCATGTTCCTCAAACCATTCCTGGACAATGATGGCAGGGTGCATTATCCTGCTGAAAGAGGCCACTGCCATCAGGGAACACCATTGCCATGAAAGGGTGAACGTGGTCTGCAACAATCTCTAGGTGGGTGGTACATGTTTCCCAGCAGAACATTGCATAGACTAGAGCATAATACTGACTCCACCAGCCTGCCTTCTTCCCATTGTGCATTCTGCTGCCATTTTCTTCCCAAGGTAAATGAATCACATGCACCCAGCCATCCACCTGATGTAAAAGAAAATGTGATTCATCAGTCCAATTAACCTTATTCCATTACTCCATGGTCCTATTTTTACGCTCTTATCCCGTGGGCTCACTGACCGCTCTGCAGCTACGCAGCCCCACACACGGCAAACTGTGACGCACTGTGTATTGTGACACCTTCCTATCAAGGCCAGTGTTCCGTTTTTTTCAGCAATTTGAACTGCAGTAGCGTGTGATCTGACCAGACGGGCTAGCCTTTGCTCCCAATGTGCATCAATGAGCCTTGGGCACCCATGACACTGACGCCGGTTCACTGGTTGTCCTTCCTTGCACCACTTTTGGTAGGTATTAACCACTACATACTGGGATCACCCCACAGACTTGCCGTTTTGGAGATCCTACTACCCAGTTGTAGCAGACTCTGGCTAAACCGACCAGTTATCTCGGCTAATTCCTTCCTTCAGCCGCTTAGGAACCACGTATAGTAATATAAAGAGACTCCTTTCCCCCAGTAACTGGACGACACACAGTTCTTGAGGTACAACACCATTTTATTGCCACACATGGCTTTTATGCATAGGACCCGTGCAAGGGGTCTTCCACACACATAAACCGGGGTTATCGCAGGATCCTCTATGCTTGGGGGGTCGCTGTTCCTTTGTCTCCCAAATATGGAAAGCACGTCACTCAGACGAGGGGGTCTCCCACCCAGGACGACAGGGGGGGCTTCATCCCAGTAGCCTCTGTGCCTGGTAGCCAAGGCGTGGGAAAAGGGACCGTCTCCCAAGCACAGAAAAGCCTGCCAAACTAGCCAGTTCCCCACAAGTGTCCCCACCAACCTCAGGCGATCTCACACTGGCACATTCTCCAGGCAACCTCTGTTCGCGAGATTCATGTGCTGAACCCTGCAAGGGAAGCGCCTCCTTTTGGGGTACGAATGCTCCCCCTGGTTGGCATTTGCGTATATGGCGGCCACCCGGGGGGCATTCGTTAATTACTTCCCTTGCATACTCATGTTGTCAGTGCAAACGTTCTAATGGGGGGGGGGGGGTCGTTCTAATGGGCACTTGGGTGGTCTTCGTTCGGGAGACGAACGAGTTGGGAAACAATCCACGAATACTCCCCCTGGCTGACATTCGTCTATATGAAATGGTTCACTTATTGCTTCCCTTGCAGTTTCGCAACAACGCTAGAGGTGAGAATGTTCTACTAGCATTCTAAATGGGATATCGGGGTGGTCCTCGTTTGGGAGTCGAAGTTCCTTTCATAGGGGCGCTCCCTAGCAGGGAGCGGGTACAATAGAAGGGCAAGGGGAAAAACACACAGTATAACTAGAAAGCACCCGAACCAGTGGTGGTTCCGCCACACCAGTAGTCTAGCCATCACTATTTGGCCCTTGTCAAAGTCACTTGCCCATTTTCTTCCAACACATGAAATTCAAGAACTGACTTCACTTGCTGCCCAATATAACCAACCCATTGACAGGCGCCATTGTAGCGATATAATCTGTTATTCACTTCACCTGTCGGTGGGTTTAGTGTGGCTGATCAGTGTATAATAAGGCAGTGAGTGTGATATAGTTCTGGGTTTATGTAATGAAGTGCACTTCGCCACTTGGTCCTGGAGAGGCCTGCTTGCCAGCCTCCTGCCCTGCGACTATGGCCCATGGGAGATTGTACGTGTTTAAACCAGCATTTGGGCATATGGATGTTTATTGTACAGTGCTGGCCCTTTAAAAACAGTGTATGGACATACTGAAACGTTTGAGACACTTTTTCTGCCCCATTGAATTCATGGGAAGGTGTGCCTCTTCCCCTTCACCAGCAGGGAGTTGTCCCAGGGACACTGCCAGACCAGTGGGAAGTGATTTGGGCAGGAAAAGCCATGCTTGCAAGTCATAACAAAGGACTTTGACCTAACTTTTAAACCCATGAACCTATTCAAGTGAATTTTGGATATGTTTGTCCCCAAGTTATACTGGTTAAAATAATATAAGTTTTATGTATGTACGATGTAAACTCACAGTTATAAAAATGTATAAAAAGTGTAACTTTTCAGCTTGGAGATAATTGATTAGATACAGTAATTGACTAAATTATCTCCTAAGCAGAGGGGAGGAATATGATGGGTGTGTTTCTATTGTCCTATTGTGTGTGATTGGCTGCTGTACTTGCATTGTATATGTTGTAATGTGTTTATTGGTTGTTCTGAAAAACCCTGTGGGTGGTACTATGTGTGGAAAACCTGCATAAAAGAAGACCCTTTGGTGCCAAATAAACAGATCTTCTTGACCCTCAATACGTAGCCTTGTCTCGTTATTGGAGGGAACTGCTATATCACACTGGGGATTGCTATGCTCTGTATACTCCCCTGAGCTTTTAATCACTTAGCTCTTTTAAGAGCTGTTCCTGTTACGCTCTCCTGGAGGAGAGGTCTTCCCCACACGGTCCTGGAGGACAGAAGCTGATCCAGGGTGGAAGGAAGACGGCGAGACTCCACTTAAGCTACGGCGGTTGTGGGGTCTGCGGTGGTTGTGGTCTCTGGTGCGGTGCTTGTGGTCCTCGGCAAGCTAGGAAGCGTCAATTAACGGAAGGCTTGGGGACAAGAGACTTTGCTGTTAGTGGAAAGCTGACAGGAGGAGGAGCCTGGTATGTGGCAGTGCTTGCCAGTGGGAGGAGCTTTGTGGTGGATTTGGTCAGTGCGTGGAGCTTTGTGGTGGATTTGGTCAGTGGGAGGAGCTTTGCTGTGGATTTGGTCAGTGCGTGGAGCTTTGCTGTGGATTTGGTCAGTGGGAGGAGCTTTGTGGTCGATTTGGTCAGTGGGTGGAGCTTTGTGGTGGATTTGGTCAGTGGGAGGAGCTTTGCGGTGGGTTTGGTCAGTGGGAGGAGCTTTGCGGTGGGTTTGGTCAGTGGGAGGAGCTTTGCGGTGGGTTTGGTCAGTGAGTGGAGCTTTGTGGTGGGTTTGGTCAGTGGGAGGAGCTTTGCGGTGGGTTTGGTCAGTGGGAGGAGCTTTGCGGTGGATTCGGTATGTAATAATACGTTTGTTTTTGTTTGTTTTCCAGGATTATAAAGATGCGCTGATTACAAATTACTACGTGAGTTTTCTGCATGTTGTTTGACACGCTGATTGGTATTATTAGCATGTGACTTCTAAGAAACATTTTACCGATCACTCTCCCTCCCACAATCATCATTTGTGTCTTTATAGTGTTATCCCTGGTTTCATATGTGTTTTTTATATATATTTGAAAAACCCCACATAGATTCTTCGTCTGCAGCCAAAAGTCACTAACATTGATATAGAAAGGGTAGTAGATACATGGAATGGCCTCTCAGTGGGAGCAGTAACAGTGATATAGAAAGGGTAGTAGATACCTGGAATAGCCTCTCAGTGGGAGCAGTAAAGACCAACAGTGATATAGAAAGGGTAGTAAGCATAAGCTATAGTAATGAGACAATCCTGTTGGTCTCTGATTAGTGATACAGAGTTTCTCTGTGTGTTGCATGACTCTCAGAATAACACAGCAGGATGCAGGACATTCCTATTTATTCACCAGTTCCTTTTTTTTGGGTAGATCTGGCCGGCCGTGCAGATTGCAAACTTCTACTTCATCCCTTTATATCACCGGTATGTAATAATGTGCGTGCGCATTGCCCTGATATGCTGCAATTTCAGCTTAATATAATAAACTATATTTTAATGCTAAATTTATTATCACTCTGATTCCTTCCGTAGTCTGGGTATATATTAATTAATCTGTCGCAAAATCCTTTTAATCCCCACCCAAACAAATCGGTTCATCTGGAAAATAAATTACTTCGGGCATGGATTAAAGAGAGTTGATTATGGAAACACATTTTTCCCTCCAGATTAGAGGCAGTGCTCTACGACTGGGATTTCTTCTAAATCTTGAGCGATAATATCCGGCAGACCGTAAAATGTATATTGGTTAGATTCACCCCCAAACTACTCCTTTGATGCCATATAAATGCGGCAAACCCCCAAAACACTCGGTTCTCTGCGTGCCTTTGGCAGGAGTGGATAATCCGTCACTCAGCTTTATTTTTATTTTTGGGACACAGTGAGGCAGCTGCAGCTCCAGAGAGGCACTGTCCATTTTCGTTAGGAAGCCGATTGCGTCCGGCGCTTCCTACATTTACTTTGGTGGAACTCACGCCGGATGCCTCCATTCCACCTTTATTATTTTTGCCTAAGCCGCACCTTGACCCGGAAATCATGAAAAGGGGCAAGTCACACGAGCTGGACGGTCCTGGTGATATAACGCAGTGCGCATCACAATTTTCGTTCTTTCAGGTGCAAAAATTCAAATTTTAAGAACCTCTTAAAGGAAAAGGGGAAAACACTTAAATCCTTTCTGATGCATCCTCCGTTAAGAATTAATGCTTAGGGAATGGAAAGAGAGTCTTTATATCAAACACTTTAAAACTATTTTCTCAATCCGAGAAGCATTTGATAGTAAATTAGAAGATTTGCCAAACGTAGATGTTCCCATTGCTTAATTGGTAAAGAAAACTACTTTGCCTGTAGGTGATTCCTGCGGCCTTTAAGATTCTATGAGTAGCAGAACAGAATCTTCCTATCCTCCAAGCAAGGCCCTGATTGCTGGTACTTCTGTGGCCAAGGCTTGGAGGTTTAGGCTAGAATCATTAGAAAAGGTTTTAATATTAAAATGGTGTCTTTTTTTTTTTTTCACCCACTCTTCCTTTGAGGGCCTGAGGCTCTTGGCAAAAGCTATGGGCTTCTCTACCGTGGGAAGGAGGGCTGTTTGGCTGAGAAATTGGTCAGCAGATTCCGCCTCTAAGAATTCCTTATGTGATCTACCATTCGACCAGGGGATACTTTTTGGCTCTAGACTAGATGACTTATCAAGACAAATGGCTGAAGGAAAGAAAGCCTTGCCTGAGTATCACACGCAGAAACATTGGCGCAAGAATTTCTTTAGACACAGATCTTCATATAAAGGTTCCTTTTGGAAGAGCTCTGTCAGAAGTTAACAGAGGAGATCATTTGGCTACAGACTTAAAAATCAATTTTCAGAGAAGAAAAAATGAAAATTGACACCGTGTCAGTGGGAGGAAGACTTAATTATTTTTCCAAAATAGGAACAGACCACCTCAGACTGATGGGTTCTATCGATCATCAAAAAAGGTTAGCAATTGGAACTCTCAGAGCTTCAACCAGGGGGCTTCCTTTGTTCCACAGTATATTCTTCACTAACCGCGACAGCACTGTTGAGAGAAGTAATTATAATATGGCAAAAGAAGGTTGTAGAAAGTCCTACAAAAGGAAGAACAATATTTTGGAACGTATTCAAGACTCTTTCTAGTTAAAAAACTAGACGGATCTTTCAGACTCCTCTCACAGCTGTAAACATGCCCATGATAAAATAGAAATTTTGCATAGAGACTTTTATTTCAGCAACACATATTATCCAGGTTGTAGCAGCCCCCGCGTAACCCGACGGGTTACCTCTGCTAATTCACTTCCTTCAGCCGTTCAGGAACACCTTAGAATATGAGACCCATTTCCCCCCCAGTAATTGGACGAGACAGAGTTCTGGAGGTACAACACAATTTTATTGAGCCACACACGGCTTTTGAGGCTCCATGTAAGGGGTCTTAAACACACCCAGACAGGGGTCGTATCCCAGGATCCTCTACACCAGGGAGCCCAAGCGCGGGGACGGAGGGTCGATGTCCCTTTGTCTCCCAAATATGGAAAGCCCGCCACTCAGATGAGGGGTCTCCCGCACAGGACGACAGGGGTCTTCATCCCAGGAGCCTTTGTGCCTGGGAGCCAAGGCACGGGAAAAGCCCGCCAAACTAGCCAGTGCCCCAAAACTGTTCACACCAATCCCAGAGACCCGCACAACGGCTCCTCTCTCACTAGCCTCCGTTCGTGAGGTCCCCATGTGAAACCCAAATAAGGGAAGCGTCTCCTTTCGGGGTCCGAACGTAACCCTGGCCGACGTTAGTCGGTACGGATGGCGGCCACCCAGAGGAGCACTCATTAATTACTTCCCTTGCTGTTTCACACCTATGTTGCAAGTGTGAACGTTCTGATTTAATTGGTGGGAACATTCCAATGGGGTGCTGGGGAGGTCCTCGTTCGGGGGAACAAAGGGGCCGGGAAACAACCCTTGAACGTTCCCCCTTGTTGGCGTTCGTCTAACGAAACGGCAGCCATCCAGGGGAAGGCTCATTAATTGTGTCGTGTGTGATTTGACACTTATGTTGTGAGGTGAGAACATTCTAACCTAACATTCTCAATGAGATATCGGGGTGGTCCCCGTTCGGGAGGGGAATGGAAACACTCCCGAATGGGGAGAAGGCACAATACACGAAAACGTAGGAAAATACACATAATATAAAAAGGGAATCCGTGAACAGGCAGGGGTTCTGCCACACAGGTCATTGACTAAGTTCGGTCGATGTAAGATACCCATCTCCACATTGCTATCGCAAAGAGAAGCAGAACATTTCTGAGATTTGCAATAAAGTCTCAAGAACACGTTCTATGTTACTAATTTAAGGCTCTTACGTTTGGCCTTTCATCTACACCAAAAGTCTTCACAAAGATGCTGGTAGTTATAACTGTAGGTGTGAGAAGAAAAGGAATGCATATTGTTCTCTTTCAAAAAAAAAAAAAAAAAAAGTAGCTATGGCTACTCCGTAGCTTCTTTACAATAACAACTCAGTATGTATATAAGAACTGCCTCAGAGTTACGAACAGAACATGGTTAGATTATCCACAATGAAAAATCAGAGCTTGCTCTCACTCAAAGAATTCAGTTTCTAAGTCTCATTCTAGATACCATTCAATTAAAATTAAATTGAAAAATTACCGGAAGAGAAAAACTGATTTTTAATTCTATTCAGAAACTAAAAAGAAAGAAAAAGCGTTCCATAATAGAGGCCATGAGTCTTTTAGGACTTTTCACAGCAGTCAACTGGGAAAAATCAAGAATGAGGCCAATTACAAGAAAACATTCTAACATACTGGAACAAGAAAACTTCCTCCTTAGACCAGATCATGGAACTAAATGGTGGACAACCTCTATCTTCCTAGAAGTAGGTTTTCTCCTTTTGCTCAAAGTTCCTCACTACAGATGCCTCCAGACAGGGCTGGGGTGCTCATTTAGAGACAAGGAAGAAAAAGGGACTTAAGGGATTTAAAAGTAATCTGGTTGGACCTCCTATCTTTGAAGCCACATCTCATAAATTGGCATGTACAGAGAAGAACATGTAATTATGAATTATGTAAACAGACACGGAGGTACAAGATCTTTTCTTCTGGAAAAAGTGTTCCCAGATCATGCTCTTGACGGAGATTTATCTTCTCTTGATCTCAGCAGTTCATATTAAAGGAGATCACAATACATTAGCAGATGCTGTAAGCCGGAATCACCTGAAGAAAGCGTACTGGTCTCTTACAGCCCACACATTTCACGACATTACTGCAAAGTTCGGTACACCAGTTATAGACCTCATTGCTATAAAGACAAATCACCTTACTGAATCCAGCAGATAGTCCCAGTTTCACAGACACTCTTTTTCGATTCCATGGAATTTCTCCCTAGCATATACATTTCCACCACTGGTTCTCATTCCTTAGATCTTACAGAAGATCATAGCAGAAAAAGCGAGGATTATTATCCTTCCTTGGATAATGTACTCATGTATTTGGAGAAAGTTCTGTTCCTGGTGTTTTAATATTTAAGGAAGATCCTCTGTGCCCTTCCATTCTGATTATCTTAAAATTTCGGCAGTTGGGCTAGACTAAAGGGCTTTGCCCAGCTTCACGTTCAGATTTCGGCTCTTAGCTTCTACTGATTGTACTAGATTCTTCTTTTTTTAGAGTCTTCAAAGCTTTATCTAGGCTGCTTGTTCCTCCATGGGAGCTTAACCCATTAAGGCCACATGACATGTGTGACGTCATGATTCCCTTTTATTCCAGAAGTTTGGTCCTTAAGGGGTTAATCTGGTTTTGTCAGCCTAATCTGAAGCTCAATACTAACCATTAGATTCTAGTTTTCTCAACATCATTAGTTATAAAACAATATTTTTAGTGGCTGTGACTTCTGCTACACGCCTTGGTGAACTACAGGCATTGTCCTCCATATATTCTCTTCCATCAAGATCAAGTCGTATTTCAACTTCATGCCTCCTTTATCCTGAAGGTCTGTTCCACATCTAATATCAACCAAGAAATTGTCCTTCCAACTTTCTGCCAAAATCCAAGGAATTCTATGGAAGAGAAGTTTAATTGTTTAGACATAAAACCTTCTTTGCAGCTTTACCTGGACAATACCAAACCTTTTTGCAAATTTGACAGGTTTTGTTCTTTTTCAAGATCTAAAGAAGGTTTAATGGCTTCAGAAAGCTCTCGAGCGAGATGGATCAAAGAAACTATTCGGCTGGCTTACATTTCCTTTCAGGCTTCTCCTCAAAATATAAAGGCACAAGGCACGTTCTACAAGAGCCATTGACACATATTGGGCCTTCAAAGCTTCTGCGACTCCTCAGATATGTAAAGCAGCCACTTCACGCCTTCTCAAGATACGACAGATTAGCCGTACTGGCCTCTGAAGACTCAATCTTTGTGTGCAAGGTGTTGCAGACAGTGGCTAATATGCTCCCTAAAGGAATGCTTGTTCATCCCAGTCGTAGTTCTCTAATCTGGAGGGAAAGGCATACATTTTACTTACCGTTAATTTCTTTTACTTTAGAATTCGAGGTCGTGCACATATTTTCTTCCCTATTTAATAAATATATTTTGCAGTTTTTTGGGTTCTGTATTTTCGGGCTTGCTGCATTTATATAGTATCAAAGGAGGATCTAACCAATTTCATTTTTACGGTCTGCCTGCCTTTCCACTCCAGTCATAGAGCTTCTAATACTATAAAATAAGAGATTTACAATAAGTAAAATGTATGCTTTCATTTCACTGAGTTATATTGCCCCCCGATTCGCTGGGTGTTTACACGGTAACCCTGCACCTACGTTCTCTGGGTATATACAGGGTAGATTTGCCCCCATTCTCTGGGCATATATTAGGTAGATTTGCCCCATGCTCTGGGTATATACTGGTTACAGTTGCCCCAATTCTCCAGGTATATACAGGGTTGAGTTGCCCCTATTCTCCGGGTATCTACAGGGTAGAGTTGCCCCTATTCTCTGGGTATGTACAGGGTAGATTTGCCCCAATCTCTGGGTATATACAGGGTAGAGTTGCCCCTATTCTCTGGGTATATACAGGGTAGAGTTGCCCCTTGCTCTGGGTAGATTTGCCCCCATTCTCTGGATATATATTGCGTAGATTTGCCCCCTTTTCTGGGTATGCACAGGGTAGATTTGCCCCCATTGTCTGGGTATGTACAGGGTAGAGTTACCCTCTTCTCTGGGTATGCACAGGGTAGATTTGCCCCCATTCTCTGGGTATGCACAGGGTAGATTTGCCCCCATTCTCTGGGTATGAACAGGGTAGATTTGCCCCCGTTCTCTGGGTATGCACAGGGTAGAGTTGCCCCCGTTCTCTGGGTATGCACAGGATAGAGTTGCCCCCGTTCTCTGGGTATGCACAGGGTAGAGTTGCCCCCGTTCTCTGGGTATGCACAGGGTAGAGTTGCCCTCTTCTCTGGGTATGCACAGGGTAGAGTTGCCCTCTTCTCTGGGTATGCACAGGGTAGAGTTGCCCCCATTCTCTGGGTATGCACAGGGTAGATTTGCCCCCATTCTCTGGGTATGCACAGGGTAGATTTGCCCCCATTCTCTGGGTATGCACAGGGTAGATTTACCCCCAATCTCTGGGTATGTACAGGGTAGATTTGCCCCCGTTCTCCGGGTATGCACAGGGTAGAGTTGCCCTCTTCTCTGGGTATGCACAGGGTAGAGTTGCCCTCTTCTCTGGGTATGCACAGGGTAGAGTTGCCCTCTTCTCTGGGTATGCACAGGGTAGATTTGCCCCCATTCATTGGGTATATTACACATTCAGCCCTTGGTCTCAGTGTCTGTTTTCCTATAGGTTGGCTGTGGTGCAGTGTGTTGCGGTAATCTGGAATTCCTATCTCTCCTGGAAAGCCAACCAGTTATGAATCTGTTACACGTCCTGGAGGATTGGAAGCACGTGCCTGGAAATGGATATATGTGATCATATTGGATGTGTTTCTCTCACGCCTTGAATTATATCAGGACTCGTGCATTACACCTACATCTCCACTGGGGGCAGCACTCTGGAATAAACTTGTTATATCCTCGGTTACCACTGGGGGCAGCTCTCGGTATTAAAAAGGTTCAATCTTTTTTTACTCCTGGGGCAGCTCTGATGGTGAAACACTCTTGCCTCCACCTCTAGTCTCTGCCCTGGAGGATTTTGCTTACGGGAGCCATAGTGCTCATGTCATGCCAGGAGAAGTTAGGTTATATATTATCATATATATTATATAATGCTATAAATTGTGTGGACTGGATATCTCGTTGAGATGGTTCTGCTACTATTATAAAGCAATGTATTATTATTCTGAGATTGTTTGTTTTTATCATGGAGACAGCTATTTGTATCCCCACATGTCTTACTGATGATTTCAGAGAATAAAATGTATTATTTTACCTATAAATTCTCCTCTCTTGTCTGTGTTTCCCAGTCAGACTGGTCGTATATACAGTGTGTTATCAGACTGGCTGTATATACAGTGAGTTATATCAGACTGGCCGTATATACAGTGAGTTATATCTGACTGGGCGTATATACAGTGCGTTATATCTGACTGGCCGTATATACAGTGCGTTATATCTGACTGGCCGTATATACAGTGTGTTATATCTGACTGGCTGTATATACAGTGAGTGATATCAGACTGGCAGTATATACAGTGAGTGATATCAGATTGGCCGTATATACAGTGAGTTATATCAGACTGGCCGTATATACAGTGCGTTATATCTGACTGGCTGTATATACAGTGAGTGATATCAGACTGGCTGTATATACAGTGAGTGATATCAGACTGGCAGTATATACAGTGAGTTATATCAGACTGGCCGTATATACAGTGAGTTATATCAGACTGGCCGTATATACAGTGAGTTATATCTGACTGGCTGTATATACAGTGAGTGATATCAGACTGGCAGTATATACAGTGAGTTATATCAGATTGGCCGTATATACAGTGAGTTATATCAGATTGGCCGGATATACAGTGCGTTATATCAGACTGGCCGGATATACAGTGCGTTATATCAGACTGGCAGTATATACAGTGTGTTTTATCAGACTGGCAGTATATACAGTGTGTTATATCAGACTGGCCGTATATACAGTGTGTTATATCAGACTGGCAGTATATAGTGTGTTATATCAGACTGGCCGTATATACAGTGTGTTATATCAGACTGGCAGTATATAGTGTGTTATATCAGACTATCAGTAAATACAGTGTGCTATATCAGACTGGCAGTATATACAGTGTGTTATATCAGACTGCTAGTCTCATATATTAGACACTGTATATACTGCCAGTCTGATGTAACGCACCGTATATACTGCAAGTCTTATATACTGCTAGTCTGATAACACACTGTATGTACTGCCAGTTAATATACTGCTAGTCTGATAACACACTGTATGTATATACTGCCAGTCTGATATATCAGACTGGCAGTATATACAGTGTAATATATTAGACACTGTATATACTGCCAGTCTGATGTAACGCACCGTATATACTGCAAGTCTTATATACTGCTAGTCTGATAACACACTGTATGTACTGCCAGTTAATATACTGCTAGTCTGATAACACACTGTATGTATATACTGCCAGTCTGATATATTACACTGTATATACTGCCAGTCTGATATATTAGACACTGTATATACTGCCAGTCTGATATATCACACTGTATATACTGCCAGTCTGATATATTACACTGTATATACTGCCAGTCTGATATATTAGACACTGTATATACTGCCAGTCTGATATATTACACTGTATATACTGCCAGTCTGATATATTACACTGTATATACTGCCAGTCTGATATAACGCACTGTATATACTGCCAGTCTGATATAACGCACCGTATATACTAGCAGTATAAATGCAATGTTATATCTGGGGTCGATGAGAGGGTTTTGGGTTATGATGACGGCCGTTCCCTTGACACTTTCTGTGATGTATAAGTGCTCAGGTGTTTTACAAATCAGTCTCTAATTACAACATTAAACGTGTTCCTAGCGAGCTGATGGGGAACAAGCTCAGGCGGCTGTTTTGTCATTAAGTCGTTGGTTCTTTTCCATGCTGTGCTCATGGTTAATCTTGTTCTTTGTTTTTTGCCAGGAACAGAATCAAACTGAACGTTTTGCCAGCGATGTGTGAGTGGGATACGGATAGAATATTCTCACATTGTCTGTTTAATAACGTTTGGTTTTCCCAGTCTGTCCCGGGATGAATCGTTACAATATCAGTATGTCTGCCAGCCTGAGCATTCTGTGTACACGATCTATAAGGGTTAAATAAAACTAGTCAACATCCAGTGGGTGAGGAGGGCGAGACAATGGGTGGTTAATGAACATTTAGTGTCCCTTAAACTATGCAGTGTACGTCCTCTATATCATAAACTGTACCGAAGACGTGAGGGAGAGCGAGAAGTTCTGCCTCTGTCGTAGCTTGTGAAGTGGATAATAATGTCTTACTATACACGTACAGGTCGCAATCCTGTCCACACATCTGTAAGCATATGCTTATATAGTTCCAGAATGACTGTAAATGTGTCTCGGCCTCCACACAACCACTAGAATTGCCCTGAGACATTGTGGTCCTCCTAGCATCACACTAACCCCTTGTAGCCAATGTGATGTTAAATAGAAGTAAACGCTTAGTACAAAGAAGCCCCTGGATCCGTCTCCCATACAAAGGAAATCAATCTTATCAGATGGGGATATTAAATGGCGTTTAGTCCTACTCATTGAAGTGGCGGCCTGAAGGTGGTTTCAATAAAAAGCAAGTGAAGACCCCTAGATCTTTCCATACAAAGTGGAGCAATTGAGGGCAATGGCCATAATCGGTAGTTGGTAAAGATTCTCCCAGTTAGGTACATGATCAGGTTTACCTTTTAACCTTGGTTCTATGGAAAGCAATGTGCAGATTAATTTAATAAATGTTAAAGAAAACATCTACGCCTCTTTGAAGTCACCTTAACCCCTTAAGGACCCATGACGTGTGACATGTCATGATTCCCTTTTCTTCCAGAAGTTTGATCCTTAAGGGGTTAATCTAAATCGTCACACTAAGCCTGGTGGAGACTTGTGATCTCTAAACCTAAATAGACAATTCTGGTGACAGATTGCAGGGATTGGAAAATAAATGGTGTTTAAAGCGTCCGCTGCCTTTATTCTGCATACAGCCTGATTAGGAGTTATTCACTAAAGCATGGCTTGTCCACAATTCATTAAATTTAACTTGTAATCCAAAATAACTAAGCTGGAAACTTAGCTGTCATGTACGATTTATCCAATTTGTCTCTTAGTCTAAAATAATATATACAGCCATTTTACGGTATGAGTTGAATGTAATTCATCAAATTCCTCTTGGATACATTCTCTGTCAGCGTTTATATTTTGATATTATAAGGTCCCGCTAGCCATCGTTTTCTTTTAAGCCATGCTAACCAGTTCCCATGCGACAGTCTGCCCCAAGCATCTCTTTATTCATCCCACTTATAACTTTATCAGTTTCATCATAGCACCTGGACGTTGGTCTTCGGATCCCCAAACTTCTGCGGAGGTCAGAGGAAGGTCCTCTCGTTGTCATTGTGTGGCCTTGCTACATCGTCTCCTGGCCACGTTCCACGTTTATGTCACTTAGCAGCTAACCTCCACATAACCTTCACTCCTTCCGAATACGTCTGCATGGGAGATCACCGCTTTAATCCCCTGAGAAACGCAATTACAGCAAACCACGAGGAAATGAACCGGGACCACGTCTGACAGCTGCTGGCTGCCAAATCTTGGAGCGGTGACGGGAGATGGTATCCAGCCAGTAATGTGTTCATTAGGACAGGTACATGCCTGGAATGTTTAAATGGGCAGACGCTCTGACGAGTCCCAGCCTGGTCCTTTCATCAGAAGTTATCATTTTGACTGTGAGTGAAGCCATGTACGAAACAGTCTCATTTAGTAAAGCACTTCTTGGAATTGCTATTTAGAGTCTTACCATAAACGCCAAGAAAGCTCTACACTTGCCCTTCACATTTTGGGGAGCAGATGTGCTCAGCCCTGTCCTCTTGATTGATCCATATTAACCCTTTTGATGCACAGTTACTTGCTGTATATATTTTCAATCTGCTGACCTGGGTTGATGAGTAGGTTATACAGTCTGGATTTCTGCAATTTGTTTTTATCTTTGTGGTAATGAAATGTCTAATAAAATAGAGGGAATAACCTTCTGCTCTCTGGTGGGCCTCTTTGTGTAACTGAGATATTATGTATCCATTATTTAAAGGGCACTCCACTGCCCAAATACAAAAAAAAAAGAGAAATACACTTTTTAAAAAACACTGTTTAGTCGATAAAGCCCTAATGATAACATTAATTCATTTTTTTTCATTGAAGTTATTTCTAAAAACCGCTTTTAAAAGCTGCAGTTCTCTTGTCCACTTTTAGCCCAATCAGACTCTCTGTGGCTGTCCAATCACAGACTCCCCAATGCAGCTCAATGAGAAGTCTTTACGAGGCAGGTGTTTTGGGCAATTGCTGCCTCTTGAGTTTATCTCCACTGAGCTAACCAAACCAGGAAGTAACAGGATTGGTTATCTGAATGACAGCCAGGGGGTGTAACCAGGTTAATTTTATAATAGAGCCAATTTCTATTAAAAGCTGCACTGTTTGCAACATGAATAAAGATGACACGCTATTCATACATAAAGCATTTCCGCAAGATAAACTGCTGTAGGGGCTCTGGAGTGTCCCTTTAACCCACTATTATTTTAAATACAAAAAAGTGTAATAACTAAAACATGTAACATACTTATTGTCTGATAATTGCTGGACATTTTTGTATTAAGGAACTGTTCCTGTTATGATTTTGTGATAAATGACACCTGTATGTAGTTAAAAGGTCAAAAAATGGTTAGACTTCAAACATGTATTTTCACTTTTTTTTCCTCATTCAAAAAATTCAGATTTAAAAAAAAAAAATTATTTCTCTATTAAAATAAAAAAGGGGGAAAAAAAACCACTGTTACGCATATATCTTGTGATTTAGAGTTATCTACCTCTACTGCCAGAGGCCATTAATCTGCAACTGGACTGATATATTTTGTGTTTTTCAAGCCCCCTCTCTGTACTGGTAGTGGTCATCCCAGTCCACACTGGAGCCAAGTTAGCTTCTCAGGGAGTAGAGGTGGCAAAGCAGTTTGTTTTTATATTTTTACAAAGTTTACCACGCTAATGATTGGTGCCATAACTGTTTTGTAGTGACTATCCCCACAGCAGTCCACATAGATGAAGGCCTTTAACAGGATTTTTAACGGTCTATGCACCCGAATTTGGGTTCGCCTAGCGCAGCATTTCTTTACCACGCAACTGGACCAACCTACAAATCGGGGTTCTTCTCGGGCACACGGCAAGTCTCAGACCCAGCAGGTCTTGGAGAGACGATCTCTCACCCTGGGAGAATGCTTCAGGGACACAGATTTACACACTGTTAATTGACAGATCAGTGGCCATTGTGGCCTGGGGTGATTGAGCATGTTACCTTTAACTTCAAACCTTAATGAGTGCATTTCTGGGACTCTAGCCAGTACGCATAAGCGACATCCAAGTGTCCATAATTTGGTGATTTAGGTTACATGAGAGACAGCTTGAAACGAGACTGCCTACTATGATGCATTTTGATTTTCTTATTCGCATTTATTTTATCTCTTGTATTTGCTAATCCATGACCGGTTCTACTGCAGTGGCCTTTTCTACTCAAGTCGTCAAACTTCTGTCATTTACTAAACTCTGACAAAGCTTCTCTACTATTGTTACTCTAAGAAACCTCTCACATCCTAAACTTACCTATATTGTAATTCCTTGGTATATTGCTGTGTATTGTGCTTAAACTACATGTAATGCAGTGTGGTAATATAAAAATAATTCCCCACGCCTCTCTCCATCCTCCCACGGGTCGTATTATCTGCTTTCTCGCTAAGGGGACATCGACTTGGCATTTTCACATTCTTTATTTTGAGAACTTCATAAAGATACGAATTAACAGAATAAGGAGAATTGTATCAATAAACCGAATTATCACGGTCCAGAATTCAGTGATCAATTAATAATAGAAACAGAACACATGATGAAATGTTAACACAGTGCTCCATAACCATCCTCATTTGTTTCCCAGATTTTTGGGAGTTGCTAAACCCATGCTCATATATTAAACATTATGTTTGGGTCCTGTACTATGACAAACTGTCAGCAATCTCTTTATTCTGGGATGTTTGTTTATTTCACAGAATCCTATTATTGTGAATGGCTGTACGCTCACATTACGCGTCCAGTGTTAACCTGTGTCAATGTACGTATCCTCACACCGAGCGCACTACTCGATTAGCCCTGATAAATTATACAGCACTGTGCCGTATTTAGGCAAGAAATCGCTTGTTCTATTATTGTCTGGGCTCTCAGACGTAGGGCAGGCCAATAGGGTTATTCTGTATCTGGGATTGTTTCATTTAAAACGTCCCAGAAAGGTAAATATAATTATCGCAGGGACAACACAGGTCTGACAGATCTATAATTATCACACTTAGCCCTATTATCACCCCTCATCTGCTAATCTTTCCCTCCAGTCCTGAGTATTTATTTGTATTACAATGCCTGAATAATTCATACAGAGATTTTTCGTGTCTAATCGCTGCTTTCCCTCGTCCAAGGAAGACATCAAAATATTTAGTTAAGTCCTTTTATGTTCAGTTTTGTTTTTGAGCTCACAAGTTTTAAAGGAACAGTATTAGGAATGTGTTAGGAATTCAACTTTATGTGTTAGGAATTCAACTTTAGGTGACTGTCCCCAACCTGCGGGGAGGAAAAAAGTACTTTTACTTACCTTTTCTCCCTTGTAGCATGGGTCTTTGCAGCTGAGATTATCGAGATTGATGACCCCAGCCAATACAATGCTCTCTCTTAGGAAAGCACTAGTAAGCCAGGTACATGCGCAGCTAAATTCTTCACAGCGCCAGTCAGTTTATATGAAGTCTCTCGGTGCCTACTGTCCCTTTAAAGTTTTAACCCCCTGGTCTTGCGCAGGAATTTTCTGGCCAGTCTGCTCCTGTGAGGAGGTATTGAAAACCTTTACGTTTCTTTAAACTTTTTATTTAAGAAAGCAGCCTGGTATACATATACAATATCAAATGTTACGGTACAACATGCAAGAAAAGAAGATCTGATCCAAAATAAACGAGAACACTAAATTCTCCTAATGTTTCAATCAACCAATTAGTTATAGGCCCGAATGTTTCATTGCTATTATGCTAATCGTTGTAATGAGCCTCTATACCCATCAACAACATAAGAAGGATAATTCCATATTATTCTAAGTTAAAGCATTCCCTCTATCCTCAGAATGCCTTAAACACATTAGAGCCTCTATTACCAAAATACGTGTTACCCACTGTCCTATATATTTTTACTTTTTATTTAAAACAAAAAAACTGTGGCACAATACAGATCCCCTATCCTTCCAGCTATTTCATAGGTCCAACTATATTATTTTTGCAATATTCCCTCCAGGGGTCTCATACTTTTACATAGGTAGTCATAGAATTTCTAACCATAGCCGTTAATTCATCCATGTTAAGACACCCCTGGTGTCTTTAAGAGAAACCGCCGTTTAGTTCACCTTCCCCTTTCGCAAATTCAGTAATCCGTTCGCATCAATTCAAATACACGAACCATAACCAGGGGAAGCGGTAATCTCCCGACCGGGATCCGTGAAAGGCTCCAAACTCCCGAACGGAAATCCACGAACTGCTGCTAGCCGCCGAACAAAGATATCCACCAAGCGGCTTTCGGTTCCATCCAGCAGTCTCTAAACGCAAAGAAGAAATCCCCCCAATAACGAGACAGAAGCTCCGCATTGAGGGTCAAACAGGATCTGGCTTTACTGTGGGCTACCTGCCCGTATTTATGCAGGTCTGGACACTCCCCTAGAGGACCAAATGGGAGACTGGAATTACAGATGGACATAAAGACATTCCAGACATACAGTCACAGCTTTTACCCACAATGCACTATGGTTTCCTCCCCTCTGCCCTGGAGATAATTGAGAAGTAATTCAATTATCTCCAGGACAAAGACAAATCGCCATCTTAAATATAATATTAGAAAATACATAAAAATATATAACTTTACAATAACCGAACATTTCCCATTCGCATCACATATCCCCAGATAGCCTGGATCTGAGTGCATATTATTAGCGAATAGCGCTCAGATCCCACACACATAGTTCAATCGCCATGGAGTCAAAGTTCTTACAGTCTTTCGGTATACGAATGACTCCATGAGAAGGCTATCTGGGTTAAGTCCTTTCGTGTGTTTCAAAACTCCCGAACGGCCGGTGTTCGTATGCTTTCGTGGAGGCAGCCAGGCGTTCCGTTGTTTCAGCGGTGTTCGGCAGAAAAAGTGTCAGTTTTTAATTCCATGAAAATAGAGCCGAACACCGCTGGGCTTTCACGTGTTTTAAAATGGCCGCTGCCTCGTGGTCGACATACGAACGACGACCACCCTGAATTCGGTTTAATTGAGAAGTGTCTGCGGTTAACCACAACGTTCTAATTGGTATCAATAGGTTAACCAGCAGCACACTTCTCTCCTCGGTGGCCATCTGTTCGGTAGCTTTGTTCGGGAAAAACAGTCATTCGTATGGCTGGGCTATAGGAAACAGCCATTTACACGAATGGGGCAGAAACAGACGAATCCACCGCAATAAACAGACAGATGGTTCTGTCACAATCCATTAACCCCTTAAGGACAGAGCTTCAAAAGCTTGTCTTTCACTTCATGACAACGGCATTTTTTTGCTTTTTGCGTTCAACTGCAATTTGCATTTTACTAATTTATTGCACCAACACATATTATATACTGTTTTTTAAAGGACAGAAAGGGCTTTAATTTGATGTAACACACATATATGTATATATATATATATATATATATATATATATGCTTATTTATTATA